ACACAAGTCATCTCTGCCGATCTACTCTGTAATGATGTAGTTTAAACAAACTATTGAAAGCACTCGATATCGTTTTATCTTTCTGTAGAAGAGCACATAAAGAAAAGTGTAAAACATAATTAATTACTTGAAAATATATCACACTAATAGTCAAAATCTGCTACATATTCTACCATTCGAAAATTTCCCGCTATTCACTGCAAACTGTAAATAAATTTAAATATTATTTTTCGATAGAAAAAAAAATCTCATCCTTTTTCAATAACTGATCAAAAGTTTGGAGTTTCTTTTTAATATTCGAATACAGGGATCACGTGAGTGAAAGCCGTTCATTCTTGAAGTTAGATTAAATGTTAATAATTTGATTAACGTTATGTGTAACTATGAACATATTATTTTTGTTCCGCTTTCACTATTTATTTTGTAAATTTATTTAAGATGCTTAAGCATAAAATCAAATAAAACAATATTTTGTATTTGAAAACTAGACATCGTCATAAGTTAAATTAATTAAATGCATGCTTCATTTTGAGAGAAGCTAAAGGTACAATATGTCAGTATCGATTTTTAAATACACGTTTCACTTAAACGATGTATTGTATATCTACCAATAATTGTAAAAAAAGTTAAATGAAAATATACCTATATATTTTACCTGCATAAAATAAAAACGATGCATATTTTGAAATCGATCTCAATTTTACTTAATTTCTGATTTATGTCGACGTTTTTGTTTGTTTGTTTGTAATTAAGCACAAAGCTACACAATGCCCACCACGGGTATCGAAACCCGGATTCTAGCGTTGTAAGTCCGCAGATATACCGCTGTGCTGCTGGGAGCTTATGTCGACGTAATCATAATTACCAAACTAAGATTCATAAATTTAAAATGTGAAAAGATAACAAGAGGAACAAGACTAACCTTCTTCTTACTTTATAATAAATTTACATCTTCAATTATTTGTATTTATGGCAATGTTTCTAGACTACCCGCCACCGTCATAGCTGTCCCATCCATGATTACGAAATGATTGTCACTCATATAATGCACCTACAGTTTATATTAAAGTACGGGGAACATTTTGTGGTATCGGACAGTCTAATCCGGCTCACATGTCCGAAATTCGTATTTCTCCCACATGGACAACCTGCGCCATCTGCATATTGATGAGAATTTTAAAAACATTATTAAATAGAGATATTTTTTTACCCGTGTTTGCATCACAAATATTTCAAGAACTTTGCACATCTACACCTCAAAATCAAGTATTTCAAAACTAACGCAATAATCAACTGAATATACAATTTTAAATGCTACTGTATTAATATTATATTATGCATGCATATGTAAGCAGACTGAGTATTGTTTTCGACAAAGCAGTGATAACAGTTTTACTAAGTTAAACAAATGTACACCATATGATGACCTGATGTATACATATATATCTGAGCCCTTATTTACTGTTTTAAGTTTCAAAGTCTCTATGCAAATAATACTGACAAATGAATTGATAAAATATGTGCAAAGGAAGATAAGTCTTAATGAAAACGAAAACATTTTATTTCTTCAACTTCATGATCTATACTTATGCGGTTTCACGAACTAACGATAGACCTAACGTAACAGATAACGTTGAACAACTAAATATTTGCTCATTTTCTTGCATCTACAGTGTTTCTTGTATTTCTATATTTCTTAGTTGAAATGTAAAGTCATTATTTACGAAACTGAAGTAACAGAATAAAACAACAACAAATAACTTGCTGATTCAATAATTATTATGAAGAAAAGTGACTTGACCTCAAAACTTTGTAAAATAAATATTTTTAGCGCCATCCTGACCAGAAAAACTTGTTTTATAACATACCCGAAATATAGAACTAGATCTCTTTGCAAAATAGGTTTTTGTTAACTTATTTTGTGATTTCCATGCAAAAAAAGTCTTTTAACAAAATGAGCTTTTGCAAGTCTTATTAGCACTTGTTTTGAAGTATTTTGAGTCCTTAATCTCGAATATTCAGTTTATTTTTAACTTGACCTTTTGTTAACCGACTGGGCTCTCTTCAAGGTCCCCAGGGTCCATGAAAGGTCAGAATTGTGGTTTAGCGTATGAGTAGAGACTAAGGGGTGATTTTATGTGAATAGCACTATTTTATTATGATCTACCCCACAAAAAAAAACTTTTAAGTGATATTTTTTCTATTATGACCTAGGAATAGAGCATAGGCGACGAGTGAGTCTTTTGTTTGAGCAAGTTATTCTGTCACGTATTGGGGGTTGCACAATTTGAAAGAATTAGTTGATGCTCCTAAATGAATAAATTCTCCCCAGTGACTCAAATAAACCCTATTTCGATCTCTCTGTCTTTCTCTCCACAAATAATGTATAATATTTTTGAGTTAGTGAGAATAATGTTGGGGGAGATGGAATATTTTAGAACTTACAACAAACTAATTTTTATTACTTTATAAAAGCAAATTGTAGAGACAATATTTTTGTCAATGCTTATTTAGATATACATTATTTTAAAGATGATACTAATGATAACTATTAAGCACAAACTGATCCGTTTGGTGTTATTCTTAAGATTTGTTTATTCGACTTACCGATGCGCTCAGTTTTACTTTGGAAAATTCAAATAAAAAATGCATTCTGCAATTTGGAACAGGCTATTTGAATATATTGGTTGTTTCCGAGTTACAGAAGAAAAAAAAACAGACCAGGCTGTTAATACATTACATACAGTTACACCGAAATTGGAGTAAATTTTGCATGTCTGTAACTGTAATATACATTTCTCATTGGTGGTGACACTGATCTCTAGAAATTTTAGTCTACAACATTGACTTGAACTGCAAGAAACTCTTCTCCTTACCAGAGGCTAGGAAGGTTTTAGTCATCCGCACATGGGATGCACCTATTGAAACAAAATGTTGGGCCAGATGTCTCTTCTGTCTTACGGCCTGGCATGGCCAGGTGATTAGGGCGCTTGACTTGCAATCTGAGGGTCGAGGGTTCGAATCCCCATTCCACCACACATCCTCGCCCTTTCAGCCCTGGGGGTCAATCCCACTATTCTTTGATAAAAGAGTAGCCCAAGAGTTAGCGGTTGGTGGTGGTAACTAGCTGTCTTCCGTCTAGTCTTTCACTGCTAAATTAGGGACGGCTAGCGTAGATAGCCCTCGTGTAACTTTGCGAGAAATTCAAACCAAACTTTTCTGTCTTAACCTTTTGTCATGCCATGCTAGGCTGTGATATAATTTCCTATCTTTATGATATGTGTAAAGGGAAGCCCCTTAAGTTTCTCGTGGAAAACAAAAAGTTCTGGGAAATACGAAATGTATTTCCCAAAACTTCTGCAAGCATAAATGAAGCTGTTAATGAAGGATAAAAGCCCCCACTCCCCTGTTATTATAAAGGCATACAAAAAACTCTGATTTTGATTTAGCTCGTCATCAACTACTTCAGAGACAAGTAGCAATATTCTCTTTCTTTGTACATCCACAGGAGTTACCCCCTCACACACACTCGACCATCAGCAAAGTACCATTCCATGCCTGTATACTTTGAAGTCCAGGAACATTCTGAGATCGATCCTGAGAGTTGGGGTGGAAGCTTCAGAATCAGATGTTGAAAACAATCATGACCAGTTCAGTACCTGCATCAGCCCTTTCACTCAAGACTGTAAAATGTTCTTGTGAAACTTCATGTGAGAGAGAGATAAGTGTATCGGCAGGAAAAATGGATTTCACCGAACAATTGTTTGCCAAACTTACAAAGGTCTCTACGGCTTAAATGTTTCAATCTTCGACGAAGAGGTGGATCTAGATAATTTGGAAAAGTGTGAAAACACGAAGATACAAAACTCATTAACCCGAGCGCTTTCGAAAGGTGGATATTTCTTCTTCAGGCGCAAACAGGCCCACTTTTTTTCGAAGCTCTCGGGTTATAGGATTTCGTATCTATGTTTTGAATTGATTTCTTGAACCTATATGTTTTTCTAACATCATGAGTAAAGACATTATTTATTATCACTACGTTTCAGAAATAACTGAGTTTTGTTTTTGATCTTAAAAGATCTAATATTTTGCGATCTTTCATTTGAAGTCAACGATAAAAGAGCTTGTGTTGGATATAATTTTTGTTGGCCAATCTAAACCAGATACTCTGAAAAGACTAGGAAAGTCTACTATAGGTTTAGAGAACATTAAATTTGGGTGAAAGAACAAATAGATCAGGGCCACAGTGATCACGAAAATGGGCCCTAACACCCAAATCATCAATTTTATGAAGCATATTAGGCTAGAGTCGAGACCTATCTGCAAAATACCTGTTACGTTATACTCATACAACCAAAATCAAATTATGCCTTTTTAAGGACGAAACAAGTAATCTGATCGGAAACTGATTTCAGAATTGATTTGCCACGCAAAAATACCAAAGCAACGTTGCTCATATGCAAAATTTACCACTTTGGTGAAAAATAAATGTTATTTTTAATTAATGAAAAGAAAAGTAGTCAATAAGTATAAAAAAAAACACATTTCGTAACAAGGTACAATCTTAGATGCCCCTCACTGGCACAGCGGTATGTCTGCTGGAAACGGGTTTCGACACCCATGGAGGGCAGAGCACAGATAGCCCATTGTGTAGCTTTGTGCTTAATTCCAAACAAACATCAAACAGTCTTAAATTTTGGATATATGTTAAATCATGTTTTTCTGGTTAGGATGGAGTTGAAAGCATTTTTTTTATAATTTGTTTACAGTTGAAACGTATATTTATCTTACTAATTCAATCAACTAGTGTAACAGACTCACAAATCAAAGAATATCTTCTAGTCTCAACTAACTCACATTTTATATCTGATACATAATATTGTTCAAATCGTTTTTTAAACTTTCAATAAAATTATAGTTATTTAGCTACGCTTTCATTACTAACGTAAGAAGCTCCCTCTATCCAAAAACAATGCCAAGGTATGAACTAAAACAACAACAACAACAAAAAAAAAACACACACAAAAAGACGTAGTTTACAACATTACTATACCGTTGTGTATAACGGTTACTTGACAGAATACGTTGATATTCCACCCACACAATTGTGTGAATTTTTTGTTCTTATCACCACCCCCCTAACAGATTTAATGTAATATAGCCTCAGATTTAAAAACGCAGCGCCATGGAAATTGATAGCGATTTGGATAATAATTTATTGCAACAGTTTAGTTGCCTAAATACAACTGATCGTGATGTTTTAATTTCTCAGCTTCAGAAAATTCTAGGTAATCAGCTGAACGCGGCAGGGTGTGCTTTCTTTCTGGATATGAACAACTGGTAAGTTAAAATTTTATAATTCCAACTACAACAGTACAAGAATCAAAGTGTAATGATGTCATATGAAGTTTCGAAGTTCAACTTCATATTAATTTGTATTGTTACTGTTAGAACTTAGAAATAGAACATTAGAAGTAAGAAAGACTTCAAAGAGTTACTGTTAGTAACGTTTTCGTTAAATAATATAATTGAAGTAATTTTGCTTTTCAGAAATTTTGTGAGAGAAGTTTAAACAGTGAAAACTGAAAATAGAACCTTGAAATATTAAAACAATTTAAATTAAAACAGTAAAAGGGGAAATGTAGTCGTATTTGTATGTGGCTGTGTGAGGGGTGGAGTGGAAGTAACCACTGTTGTGTAGTGGAAATTCGATTCCTGCAGGCCCCTGTGATTTTTTAATCTTACAGATGTGTGTATTTGTTTTTTGCTACATTTATTGTACAAAAACAAACAAACGTTAAGTCATAATTTGTTATGTCATAACATATTTTTTTAAATTCTGAAGTCTTAAGGCCAAGTTGCACTTCAGTAATAAATTAACTTTGAACTGCTTATAAGTTACATACTCATCTATTGAGGCTAAAATTGAAGATTACCTTTTCTTGTAATTTATACCAAAACTAAGCTTAGATTAAACTTTTAAGGCAAAGGTCCATAATGAGTTGAGTTGTTTGTTATTCATTAAGATGTAGACTATTTATGGTGATTACATATACTGCTAGAAGCACCAAGTATTACTTCTTTGTGATCAACTTTATGCTAGAGATAAACCATGCAAAACAGATGGTAAAGATCATTCTGTTTTCACATCTATGACTTTGATTGAAAATACTAAGGTCCAGAAACATCAAGAGCCAGCACTGGCCCCAAGGCAAACATCCTCGACAGACCCCCCCCCCCCTTCTCTCTCTCTCTGTTTTAACATTTTCAAGAATTTATTAAAAAGAAGATCCTAAATTAGGACAGCAATGAGCTCATAAACCAGACAAAATCATAGCAGCAGCTGTTTTTACCTCACAGTATAAGCATAAAAATGTTAATAAAATAACAAATATCTATTAAATCTATAAAGTAACAAACACATATTAATTATTACTCAAATTATTATTTCAGTCGTTCTTAATGTATCAAGCGTCTATATGCAAAGCAAAGCTAAAAACTATGGTTTTTATCATTAAATGAAGATATAGCCTAAAGATGCTTTACGGCATAACCAGGTTTCATTCACTTGGGCCCCTGAGCAGTTGCCCCTTTTGCCCCCCCCCCCCTGTCAGCGGGCCTGCTAAGGTCAGTATCAATGAGTATTTTCTTCATTTTTTGGAATTGAAAGAGAAAATTGCAGCAGTATCAGTATGATCAAATTTCAAATATGTTCCCAGCAAACTTGAAGTACCGCTGCTTCTGGAAAACTTACCAGGCCAAAGTAAACAAAAATGGAGCATTAATATCAGTTTATAAAAAAAAAAATCAGTAACTTGTGTTGAAAGATGTAAACAACTGTTGCAACAAGATGATGTTCTCAGCCTAATCAAAATCAGAAATATGTACAACTTTAACTTGTAGTATTGGGAAGTATTGCTGCTGTATATTGTACATGTATGCCATTTAATTATTAAGACTGAGTGACCTGCAATGGAGAAAGTAGACTTGATGCTGTTCATGCACTCTGATACCAGGTGAGAAAGATGTATGATGCTCTAAGTTCTTGTTACAGAAGATAACACTTTAACAGGAGCTAGTGGAAAGATGTCTTGTTCTAAAGCAATTGCTGATAAGTTACTAACTTTTTAGTCTTGAAGTAAATGTATGGCATGGATCCTGCTAAGTAATTCATGCCTGTATCTAGCCTGTAAAGGCTACATGTCTATTATCTATTCCTAAACTTCTAAAGGAGTCCTTTATATGTTTTCAAAGTTAAACAGCTCTTCTGATTTCCAATGTCTTTTTTGCTTTTACATGCAATACAAAAACAGAATACTCCTTGGTATCAGCAAATAAACTGTCGACACATTCTGTAATGTACTATAAGCACCTGACAAGCAAATTTTAGTCCTAATCTTTCAATGCTCCCCCACAAAGTAAACTTCTTGATAATCTTGTCCTGACCAATCTAACTAAAATACTCTAAACTAATGATATACAGTACTGTGCAAAAGTGTTAGGACAACAGTATATATTGTTATTCTTTCCATTCTTCCATGCCATTACAGAATATAAATTTCAACACTATGGTGAAGCTTCACTGATCCCTGTTGACAACTGAATGAACCAGAGTGAGAATACTTATCATTCTTTAGAATTACCATATACTTGTACCAAGGGCATGTCATAAGGGTTCTGCTTGAATGGACATACTGATCAAATTTAGGGTCTGAAATTACTGTCGTGGTACCCCATGCAGTGTCTTAACTATATCGAAAGAAGCTAGCAAGGAGATAGCATATAGTACTGGTATATACTAGAAGAAATCAATTTCATAGCACTCCACAAATAAACCTTGATTAATAACAGTGTTTTACACTATATAAGTTTTGTTGTCATGCCAAGGCTCAAAAAGCATAGAGAATTGTCGGTAGAGCAGAGAGTTCTCATAAAAGCTTTACGTGATGCTGGTTAGACTCTAACAAATTGCTGCAGACTTGAAAGGCTCCCCAAACACTGTCAAGTACACCCTAGATCATGAGACTGAGACAGGTAAATTTGAAAATAGGAAAGGAAGAGGCAGAACACCTAAAGGCAATGATACTGATGTTAAGTATCTTTGTTCATACAGCCTTTGGGACAGAAGGAAGACTGCCACTGATCTTAAGCATGAGATAAACGACCATATACTAAATGACATAAAAGTGTACAGAACTATAGTATCAAGAAGACTCGACGAGAATGAAATATTTGGTTGTGTAGCAATTAAAAAATCTGTACTACGATCTCCAAATATTGTCAAGAGACTGAAATTTGCTAAAAAGTACAAAAAATGGACAGTTGATGATTGTAAAGGGATGTTATGGATGGATGAGTGCAAGTTTGAAATATTTGGTTCAAAGCGTAGGTTGTACGTCCGGCTGAAGAAAGGTGAAAGATACTTACCTCAATGCATAGAACTTAACAGAAGGCATGGAGGAGGCAGTGTGATGGTTTGGGGGTGTTTTTCCTCTGATGTGACAGGAGATTTTTGCAAAATAGATAGAATAATGGACCAGTGCAAGTACCATCAGATCCTGATCCATCATGGTATATTCAGTGGTTTGCGTATTATTGGTAAAGGATTCTACTACCAAGAAAAAAATGACCTCAAATACTCATCCAACCTATGCAGAAATTACTTAGCTAAGAAAGAAGCTGCTGGAGTCATTCAAACGATGCAATGTCCCCCACAGAGCCCGGATCTTAACCCAGATGAGCATATCTGGGATTTGATTGATCAAAAACTTGACAAATCAAATGTTACTTCCAAAGAAACTTTATGGGAGTGTATTAGAGACATTTGGAGTGAAATCTCAAGGAAAGGACACTTTGATTAAATATGTTGCAACAATGCCTGCAAGACTGTCTGCAGTTAAAACAGAGGGGGGGGGGACACACAAAATATTAACTATTTGTTTAACTCAAGTACTGCTCTAGAAAATGTTAAGTATTTTGATCAAATTTCTCGGTTTCGGACCTCAAAAATATTCCATCTATTACTTTCACTTTTTAACCAACATAAAAAAATTGCTTTTTCTATATAGATACCATGTACATAAAGTAAGAGTTGCTGAAAATGTAAATAATTGTCAAATAAAAACAGTTGCACAGGAATCATGTGAGATAAGCATTTATTAAAGAATAAGTAAATGTCTACTTAAGATATGAAGAAACAATTCCCAATAATCAGTAACATAAGAGAGGCTCTTAGTCTTTTTTTTGTTATGCTTTATGATTTTTACATGTACAGGGAAAAATTGTTTATTCTTACATCCATTAGTGTAGTACATTAAGCCTTATGCTACATTCATAAGTAGATATCCTACAGTGTGTATTTTAGAAACTGCAGTGTTGGACATGTGAGTCTGACCATGCACATACCTCGCAGTGTACCAATGTTTAGTACATGTATTACTGAGAGATAGCAAACAGTCTTTATGTACAACCTTGACTACTTATCTCTATTATTAAAGTATATTACTCAGAACTCATTCATTCTTACATTTTGCTTGTAGAATTTCACCAATACAAGTGAATCATTATCTTTAGTACAAATAATAGTTGCATTTATTACATGGAAGGTATTTTACAAACTTCATATACTTGTAATCTTAATGAACTTGTGAACAGTAAGCAGTCATTATGAACTGTTTCCTTTTCACAAGAATGTCTTGGAAGGCCATGTTTCAATTCATGTAAGCTATTCGTAGTGTATATGTACACTGTTTCATTAACAATTTTGCCTGTTAGACTGCAACAACTATTTATTTTTACTTTTTCCTGGATGTTTCCTGTGCTTATCTTGCATAGGGAATATCTTCATGTATACTGTAGTTATGTGTGTTTATAGCATGACTTCAACAGTAGGCATTATTAATCATACAATTTAAGCTTAACACGTTATTTAAACATAACTTTATGTAGAGAGAATTTGTTTTGGATGTTTTTTGGAATAAGAAAAATATACTTTAGAATTATTTATCACTGTTATGTGTGTGTTAATTCAATATGTGAGGTTCAACTATTTACCAAGTTAACAATGCAAAACAATCTGCATAAGTGTAAAAAGTAAAATAATAGGACCTGTAATGAAATGAACTGTAAACAAGCAGTGGAATACAATGTTACTAACAATTCAGTAAATTCATTAATTTCTGTAGTCTTGTAATGTATCGTGCTTTTCAAACTTGGAGAAAATTTGCCTCAAGAACATATGTTTGAATTCCATTCATTTGAATATACCCATGTACATATAGCTACTGAATTTTAATATTAAGTGTATCATTTCAGTTTTGACGTTTTACATCATCATATGGAAGATAAACCCTAAAAAGGATTTTGTTCCAGGAAAAGTTAAAATAATTAAAAGGCATGAACATGTAGAAAGTAAAATGATCTGTTTCTGTGTATAGCAGGGTGATTAGTAAATACTGCTAATCAATTAAATGATGGCTCTGTTAATGGGTTACATTTGATTGATCAAATGGTACATTTTCCTCAACCATGATATGTACAAAAGTATGTGGGTGTTCTAACTGGTTTCCTTCACTCTAATCAGCAGTTAAGAACTGGGAACAGAAACAGATAGCCTCAGCAGCTTTGCCATAACAAAGGTAGGGTAAGTAAGACTGATGGCAACAGGAATCAAACCCAAAATCCACAAACCATTAGCAACTCTCCTCCTAAATCACCAATGTTAAAACAACTTGAAGTTAAAGAAAAAGCAATTAAAAAGTAACAATTGGAAACCCTAATTTAGATTAGTTGATTTATTTTTGTGACAGCCTATATAATCAGAATTTCAATTAATTGGTTGTTGGAATAATCAAATGATAATAAGGTAATAATGAAAACGCTAATTTTGATTAGTTTATGCGACATTACCCATGAGTAGTGATTTATATACATTAATTGATTAAATCTCCAAACTCTACTCCTGTGGTGATCAAAATTCTTAAAGGTCTTTGGATATAGTAATGTAAAAAAAGGGGCAAATCCATGTTTAGAAAGTTATTTGATCTATCCATCAAAGTCGCAAGCACTTTTTTAAATGCAGACATACAGATTATTATTTATTATTAGGGAGTTTTAACTAAAAGGTTTTTTTCCATTGTAAGAGATTACCCGTTCTAATGGTGTATATATATGTGTGTGTGTGTGTTTATATATATATATATATATATATATATATATTTTTTTTTTTTTTTTTTTTTTTTTTTTTTTTTTTGGTT